CTGTAGCTGGCACTCAGTGCGGAGAGAAGCCAGTCTCCAAATCCAGGCCATCCCAGCAACTTGATAAAAATCACTATCACAGCTAAAGGAACTGTAGGCCTATGCTAGCCAGATCTGCTGTGCTTTTCAGGGGCTGTTTCCAAAAATATTTCTATGTTTCACTGCCTAAAGCACAGATGAAGGAGATGACTGGCAACTACAGTCCAGGTTTACACATCGTGTCTTCCCCTTCCATGTTATCAACATGGGGACAAAGGTCAAAATCAGACATGTGTATGTATAGTGTTTGTGGTATATTTATACCTTTATATAATTAAATTGTTGGAGCTTTCAAATATTTTATAGTAGTTGGACTCAAAACAGGATCAGCTCTGGGTCTCACACTTGGGAGTGCGGCTATCTAAAATGGAGTCAATGAACTTTCCCTAGCACCGTTCAGAAGGCATTATGGGTCCATTTATTTTTACTTCCCTCCCCCCATTATTTGATAGTTCTTTTAAGAGGTGTGAGTTTTACTTGGTTCCTTTTGATCAGAAGAAAAAGGTACTGTAGGAACTGAGATGCTGCAGTGACTCTGGCTTTGAACTCACCAGGTCTAAAAGCCTGCAAGAGCATTTTCTCTTTCAGCTTTCTAGCCAGCTCAGAGCTGGATGATAAAGGGGTATGTTAAATTGTCCTGAAGGACAGCTGGAAAGCTAGGCGCTATGGTCTGAACTCACAATGCAATTGAGATAGATATATATATATATAGTTTAATCATATTAAAATTTAAATGTTGGACTTTAGAGTAGATCTAAAAAAAAAAAAAAAAAATCAAGTCGTTAAAAAAAAAAGTTTATTTTCCATTCACTCCGGTTTGCAGGGGTCCTGAGCTCCTGCAAATACTGCAGCTCCATCTAGTGGCGTTGCAGACAGTTACCAGGGTGGAGGCAAATCTTTTAGAATTGAATAATTAAGAAAAATATTAGGATTTAAATTCTGTATTTTCAGTAAAATTCTTTAAGATTTCCTTTTGGTTATCACAGTGAGAATCTATTCTAGTTCTGTCTGGAATAAAATAATATTTAACTTACACTAGAGAGATTAGTATATGCAAGTCCATCCAGTCTACTTCTCTTCAGTATTTTTCTTGCCTGAATAATCACAGATTTACAGATGTATTCCTATTTCTAATAAAAGAAGGTAGTATGTTTAAATCTGTGTACCTATATATAAGCATGTGGCACTTGTAGCTTCGGTCTGCATTTCTTAAAATACTTGGGAAACATTTATTAAGCATCAAAGTATTCAAATTTGTTTGCTCTATCCACTCAACAATCCATCTGTCTATCCACCCATTCATCATGTATAGAGATTGTGCACATTTGTATAGTAGAACCTATTCTGCTCTCAGTTATATTATAACTTATTTATTTCAGTGTAGTTACTCTCAACTCTCACTGGTCTGACATGAAAATTAGTGTCTTGTGTATCTGTATACAGAGCAAATATATACTCACAAAGTGTGATGAGCATATGTTGTAATGTGATCTTAAAGTAAATAGGTTGGTTCTTTGGGGTTCTCAGCTCATCCAGATGGGAATTGACATTCAGTATTTTGCACCATTACAACTGCTTTAAGTTTTTCAACACATCTTGCTCCTGCCTTTGATCTAACCAGAAAATACACATTCTTGATTTGATTTGCTCAGCTGCTGTCTGAGCCACAAAACCTAGATTTCATCTTGTGTCCTGAACTCAACTCCCATGCTGCTTGTACAAATCTGTTGAATTCAATAAAAGTATTTAGCCTTATTAAGATTCAGGAACGCAAATATTATTCTCCAGTGATGCAGCAGATAACAGGAGTTAATAACAAGTATGTGATAAAGATCACAGGATTCCCTGTAAACAAGATGCTGCATTGCACAGAGAGCATCTTGTCTGCATATGTTTTATAAGTAACTAGGCATCCTCATGGGCTTCTTTAGTTATTTTAGAAAGTTCTGTAAACAGTGTCTACTGTTTATCTACTTAATGCCCCAAATGATATAATAATTGATATGGAAATGGGGCAAAGCTCAATGGAAAGTAATACAACTCTCCACGGACTCTTGAAGATAATCTGCCCAGATTTTATTTAAATTTTCTTCTAGCTTGGTTGTATGCAGTCTGTGGTTTATTAGACATGTTAGGCAGATGTTTGGACAATATTTTCCTTTTTTGACTCTTTTCTGGAAGAAATTTAAATGTGAATTTGTACTTGGATTGTTATCTGTTGGACATATACTTCAGAGATGTTAATGACAATGTGAGGAGTAAGATCATACTGAAAACCTCTGATGCATTGTATGCTGTTGTTGAGAAAAATGGATAATAGCAGATTGCAAACCTATATGGTAATCTTCAGTGATTGTGTGATTCTTCTTGTTTAGACAAGAGCAGTGGAAAGAAATATGGGAGTTCTAAGACATTCCTAAAACTGGAAAAATGTATTTGAAAATATTTTTCTGTTCCTTCTTAAGGAAAATTATATTTAAGCCTGGAGATTTTTTTATATATTCTAAAAATCTCTAACACAAGATTTTCTGCTTTGTTATTTTTATAAAGTAGCGGTTAAAATATTTTCCCTATTCAACCACTCATTATTTCTTCAAATATATTAATTAGACAGGTTTAGTCAACTGTTTTCTCTTCCATAGATACCACATGTGATTGTCTTAGGTGTATGATATCAGGCAAAAATTAAGCTGTGTTGTGGTTGTCCATGCAGATGAACTTTAATAACATGCAACTGTGACATGTCTCTGTTTTGCAAAGCTGTGATGCCAGTTGTGCTTAAGTATTTCTCCAGACAGTAGTTTGTGTGGTCTCCAGACCACTGTATTAGACTTTGGGAAAAATCTCTTGTTTGTACCACAGTTGCCCCAGCTGTAAAATGGGGGAAATGATACATTGAAGCGTACTAACAAAATATAAGTAAAACATAGCTTTATAGAAGAGAGCAAAGCAATATTGGTATTCAAAAGAAATCTGAGATTTGATTAGACTTGATCAAGGTCACTCAGTGGGCTTGTGATGTTGCCAAGAGCAGAGCTTGGGTCTCCAGACATTCTGTCTGTTGACTCCAGCTGCCTTCCAGGTACGGAGAATGGCTGATGAATGTTAATAATGCAAACAGGACAAATGCCAGCGACTGCTCATTTCCATGTATTTTATTAAACCGCAGAAATCTTTTGTAAAAAGCACACATTGTTTTGGGAAACAGGAAATGGATGAAAAGAGGACTTATTTATAAAACAGGCTTTTATCACTCAAATATTGTACAGCAATGAAGAATAGAAGTAAAATGGCTGTCTGGAAGCAGGAGCCACCTGCTTACTTAATTTATGTTCCGTTCTTGCATATGTGGTAGTGCCAGTTTTCTTCTTCCAGAATAGCTTCACTCATGCGTTGCTATTTGCTTTTGCTGGCCTGGCACCTGGAGAGGTGGGATGTGTACTCTGGGGACAGCATGCAAACCACATGGAGAGTGCACAAGGATTCTCCAAGGGCTTCTTACCAATAGTTAGGGAAGGGAAATAGATAATCAAGACAGGTAGATATGGATGAAAATTAGCTATTTCCTTTTTGAGCCATTTAAAAACAGTATTCAGAGGAACACTGAGATGTAGTGGCAGGTGGATAGCACCCATTTAATTCTTATACATCTTATGAAAAAGCCAGGACAGATTCAATTCATGAATGTGGGATCTGCAGCCAATTGTATCCCTGCACAGGGCAATGTTAACGGGGAAAAGGACTAATCTTCTTTGATTCCCTGCAAGAAATCTTCCCTACCTGGCTACACGTTTTTGACTGTGGAAGATAAAGTTGCATGTACAGGCAGAGGGAAGCTGGTCCTCACAGGCTGGCATTCCAAGTAGAAGATAGTATGGGAGCAGGAATGCCATTACCTTTTAGTTTAGTAACATGTAACTGCTGAATACTCACTTCTCTGTAAAAATCAAGTGAAAAAGTATGCAGAGGTTGACTTCTGAAATGTGAGTAAATAAATGTAAGCAGAATTCTTTTGGCAGGTCCAAACAGTCTCTGAGAGTACACAGCTAAGAAATCAGAACTGGCTGATTGCCTATGGAGCTGATGAGCCAGCATGGTCTCACTACAGTCCAATGCAATAAATAGATAATTTTATAACTTCTCTAGTGTACAAGGAAAGTAATGCCTGATTCTAAAATAAGACTGCCTTAGTAAGAAACTGTGCAATCAACAATAAGAACACAGGTTTGGCAACATACTGCTTCTAAGTTCTCTTCCATTTTAAAGTATCTTCAAGAAATTAAATAGGCTTGTATAAACCGAAATTGCCTCCATCCTAGTGCACATTAAATTTGCAACATGTTAAATGTCGGAGTTAATTTACTTGGCCACGTTTCAGAGCTTTTCTGTTCAGCGAGTATGAAAACCTGAATGAGGAAACTTTATTGGGGAAGTACTGGGTGAGGAAATAGGGGCACAGAGGTTAAATTACTTGTGCAAAGTTCAGACCAAGTCTGTGCTAGAGCTCCAGGTAAAGTCCAGGCCCTGTGGGTCCCCATTTGTTGCCATCACCATACTAGCTTTCTCTTTCCAAAGATTTTCAATGGCATCGCTGAAGAGATTAATAAATTCAAAGGTCACAGGCTCTGCATTTGTAGGAAGGAAATATATGCATGTTTTGCTTGGGGGAGGTTGAATTGTTGGGAGGGGATTTTCATTTTCTTCTATTCTAATAGTAATGAAACCACAAACTGATTTTATGAACTTTACACTTGACCCTTTGATGACACATGCTGTAGGCTCAGTGGATTCATACATGAAGTGGCTTGACTAGAGGTCTCAGTGCAGCAGAAGTTGAAATCAGCCCTTTGAGTGAGGCATGTGTGTTCTTCCTGGGTAGCTCTGGAGACATGGCTAATTGCCACAGATGCTCCACTGAAAGGAGTTCAGTGTGGGGTAATTATACAACAGACACATTGTTCTTTCTTCACACCATTCCTGTATTTATTTAGTTCATTTTACCCTATAATACAAGGAGACTGACCTCTGCCTTCTGGTGGATAGGGACAAAGCGACCTCTTCTAGGACTGTTTTGCTAGACAAAACTCTGCTAGTACATTATATAGAAAAGCATTCTCAGAAGAAATTTGGCTTACACCAACGAAACAGTGGGGGGTTTTGGCACTGTTTATTTTAAGGCCTTTTGAATTATGTAAATTTTTCTCTTAGCCAAATTGCACCTCCTCATATTCATAATGTGCACTGCCATGCCAACAAAAATTGGTTAGGTTTGGATCAGTTAATCTTTCAGAGATGGAAAGTTATAGCACTACCACATGTAAATGCTAAGATGGATCTTTCTGATGTGCCGCTTTCCCTGCTACTTGTCCTTGCTAGACAGCATGTACTGATGGATCCTCGAATCTTGTAGTCAGCTGTAAAGTGAGGTTCTGTGCACACAATTAGCTACTCACATACAGTCCCGCAGGAACCTGAGGAGAATCCAAGGCAGCTGGGCTTGGAATGCTGCACACAATGATGGCAGGGAGGAAAAGCAGGGGAAACGATTTTTCCCTCGTCTTTTAGTCTTTCACCACAAACTGCTGTGGAGATAGAGCAGCGTGATGGCTGTGCTTCCTTTCTGCCTTAACTTCAAGTTACCTTTCAGACCCCAGACATGCTTTCCTCTTCACCACTTCGTTACTGATTCACACGCGATTCTCTAAGAAGGTGTTACATTTGATCCATTTTAACTGTCCTGCAATATGATATGTTGTGGGAAGATTAGTTCTGAAGTCTCTTAATTAATCTTAATTCTCTTCTAGTATAACTAGAAAAATTAATAATTGTCAAATAACAAATAGTCCAAGTATTTTGAGTTTGTCTAGCTGTTAATAGCTACTTAGAGTATCAACTTTCCACCCTAGACACTGCTATCATTCTGTATTTTTTCCAAGCCATCATTCTTGTAACAATGCACAGTAATGTTTTTCAGGTTCAGTACACTTTCAATTAGCTGATACTTTTATGAATTTGGGAGCTAAGTTAATACAGTAATTCCTAATTTATAGACAGTGTCCTTGTGGTGCATGTAGTATCTGTACTTGGAATACAGGTATACAGATATACACAATTAGCTATAATATCACAGGGCCACCAAGATAGTATTTGTATGCTGTACCAGGCTGTAAAACTAAGACAATGCCAAATTTACATAAACCTCTCAAAGGCAACGGGGAAGCACATGCTTAACACAGACTGTCTGTTAACCATGTGTCTCACAGCTTGATCATCAGAATTAAATGCTAGCCTTATATTGGCCAGATGTTCTCCCCAACAGCACCCTTCTGTGATTCCTATCCGTTATTTATATAGTGCACGTGGTATGAATTTTCTACCCTGGTCAGAGCTGTACTTAAAGATCACCCCAAACGAGAATGTGCCTTCAATGCAAGTCATAAAACTGTATCAGCTACAAAAGGGAAATGAAGTATATTCCCTCATGTCTGATGGACTGATCATCGCTTGTATTTTTTGCCCCTACCAAAGTTGATTGTAAACCTTCCCCCCAGGTCCTCCTGCCCACAGCAGCTGACTTCAGTGAGAACAGGAGCGATCCCATCATACTCAGAAACAGCAAAGTGCTGTTTGACCAGGCATCAGCTGGAGGAGTAAAAAAAACCACATTCAGTGTCTGAAGATGCATCATTTAGATTGCATCAACTCAGAAAATATTTCTCTTCTTGAAAGGAAGTAGTTTCCACATGAGCAAACAATGCCTCTGATTCTGCAGATTCTTAAGTGTTTTATCAATTCTACTTTCCTGTTCTGACTTTCCACACAAAATAGGCTATATGCAAAATAAGCAAATCATAAATGATGTCTTGTTGCAAATTTCTTTCCAAAAACCTTAATTAGCTGAGGTGCTCCTCGTATCTGTAGAGTAAATATAATATTTTCCAACACATGAGTTAATGTCCCTTTTGAATATGGAAGGTATTTGTTTTTTTTCTATTAATATAAAGTTATGCTAGCCAGGCAGGTAATTTCCAGTTCTTAGTCTTTCAAGAGTTTGTGTGCTGGAAAAGGAGCTGACAGCTTTGCTCTTTAATGATTTTTTTTCTTGTGTTCATTGTACATATTCTCGAACTGCCAGTTCTTTCAGGGTAAAAACCCGTTTGGGATCTTTTTTTGCCTTCCATTCTTCCAGTTTTTCTTGCAAAGACAGAAAATCCTTGCCAAGTTCATATGCCAAAGTGATCATTGTTTCTAATAATGGAATGTAATACCTGTGGCTGGTATGTACATGAAGGTGTGATAGAGCTTTTTCTCCATATTCAAAGGCACTTGCTGGGTTTTCCAGGTCCTTGTGGCACACCACGATAGCACAGAGGGTAGGGACAATTGAAACAGGGCTGCTTCTCGTCAGCCTTTCCTGCAGGCCAATGACTTCTAAAAGGATTTCCAAAGCTTTGGTGTACTGACCACCCCGCAGGCAACCATATGCTTCCTGAAGCTCAGGCCTTGTTAAAAAGTCAATAAATTTTTTTGATCTTCGGATATATTTCATAGAATATAGAAGTCTCAGGTAGTCCTTGAAGGCTAATTTTCTCTCATTGATTATTTCTTCTGTGAAATTCCCTGTTAGAGTTTTTTTGGGAAAGGTCACATCTTCCATTTCTTCACTAAACTCCTCTAGCAGACTTCTGTGCAGTTTCTCAAAATCTGAATAACGCCTTTCAATTACAGACTTGTTGCTGTCAAAACTCCCTGTTTGCAAAATGATGACTTTATACATCTAAACACAATAAAACAGAAAAATAAGCATTAGAGGGAGAATTCTAGCACTAGTGGAGTCAGATCTTGTCTGTTATTGCTTTGAAAAGACTTTGTGCTTGTATATTCCACCAGCTGAAACCTTCCTGCGCCATTTTTATGTGTGTAAATTTGTATACTCCTATGGTTTACAGCAGTGCTGCTAGATTAGTTGCTGCCTGGGATTACGGTGCATGCTCAGTATAGACGTGATCTTTGAAATCTGCAACCACCAAATTAATAATTCCCACCTCCTGCTGTTTTGTACTTCTGCTACCAGACTTAGTCTTAGCATGCAAATAAATTGTAGATAAACAATGCACTAACAGATCCCATCCTGCAAGGTGCTGGGAGTGCTGAACTAGCAGCAGACGGAAGCACGTAAAATCACTTACGAAGTATTTCTGTAGCTGTACTTTTGTTTATAACAGCCATGGCTGCTGCAATCAATCATCTTTAGTGAACTGAATGGATTTCCCAGACTTGATATTGAAAGTAATCTATATTACATTGGTCCTAATACTCAGAAATGATGTTTGTATCAGACATTTCTAGGGATTTGGGGGTGTTATTAATTCTGTGAAAGAAGAGGGAGTATTTGGCAGTAATATTTGGTGTGTGGAAAAATAAGATGGAGCACCTCCAAAACCTTTTTTCCTCTCTAAATCATTGTCCTGTTATTCAAAGTTACTTGGCATACAAGTAATACAAAAAATTGTGGTATTTCTACAACGATCTGTTTGCTATCCAAAATCCTTCACTAACAGCAGCTCTGTCCCATATTAACGGCACTCAAGAGTATGTCTTCCTCAGCTCTTCACTAGCCTCAAAATGAATATAATAAATGTGATATTAGAAAAATAGCTGCAAAATAAAATTGTGTATTATGTGTTGTACAAATAGATTCTCTTCTGGTCCTGATCCAAGCACAATGATGTTGAGAAAGGGCCAAATCCCTAATGTGCGTAAAACAGTGGATCTCCACTGAGGCCAGCTTAACTGTGTCACTGTACACCAGCTAAGGACACAGACTGTTGACCTTGCTGGCTTTTGGACAGTGACCATGTTCACATTCAACTTCACCCTGTTCCCATTGAATTAGACAGGAACTGGAGCATTTTTACTCATGCCAGTTGTTTTATTTGCTGCTGCTGAAGCATGCAAAGCAGTACTAGCAGTAGTGTCTGTCTGATTCTCTTCCTTGTTTTTCCTTAAAGAGAAATTCTCTCTTTTAATCTTCATAAATGATCTTTACAGGCACTCCTTGAAAGGCTTCTAAATTTGATCTGACTTCTCTGATCTCTTTTTGTTTGTAAGCAGTGACATTTTCCTATAGCTTTCCTGCTCCCTGCTGAAAAGTGCATATATGCCTGATGCATATCCAAAACAATCATAAGAGCAATTTTTTAAACTATCATTTTATCAAGGGCAGATAAGTGAATAATTTACAAGTACTTGCTTTTTAATTTGTGGAGTGTGCTTGAAAAAAGGAAGAAATACCATTTAATTAGACTATCATTCAAATTGGCTCAGTGTTGTTGTAATATAAATCTTTTTCCCTAGGCATGTAACATATGACTAAGTTTAACTACTTGCACATACACCGAATGATACTTTTGTTCTCATACAGTTATATTAAAATAAATTTTAACTATTCAACAACCTGGATACAACTGACTGTATGCAAGAATGGCACCATCTAAGTAGGTGTGTATAGCATGCAACAAGATCTTAGGACAGTCTCCAGTGCATTTACCTGCTTCAAATTCTACCAAGCTGCATCACCCAGTATAAGGAGCACTAGTACGATTCTTAGCATTTTTCATTCACAAATCTCAGAAGTTGTTGCAAAAAAGGAAAATATCCCTATCTGAATTTCACAGGAGTACTGAAAGAGATTTGCTCTAGATCAATCCTCCTGAAGGCCAGGAGCAGAATCAGAAATAAAAACCAAATGTCAGTACTGTGAGTAAATATACAAAAATGCAACCTGTTCTGCTGTTCCTGTCCCTCATATCCATGCCTCACTGTAAAACTATGACAAAAATATGCCATCTAATGGAGCTCTAGGTGGGGAAGGGGAACAATCCCAAGAGATCTAGCTGGAGGATATCTTATACTTTGCCTACATCAAAGAATTTTGCACTTGTGCTAACAAATCTCTGATGTGGAAGTTATACAACTGCAATGCAGTTGTTACAGCACGCTAGCTCAGTGGAAGTGTAACTACTGATATTGTTATACTTGTGTGAATTTCCTTAATATTGACAAGCATCTGGGTGTTAAAGATACTTAAGCTAATAATTTACTCGAGATCACTTTTCTACTGCTGCAGATTTTGTGAACTGATTTTCAGAGGTTTTTTTTAGATTCCAGATTCCACCAGCTATGCCCACATGATCAGTGAGAACAAGTTCTACTTGATGTGATCATTGCTTTCAAAACTTGGACCTCAGTAAGGCTTTCATGTAGTGAGTCATGCTGTGTGGTCTGCAGCCCCCCGTAGAGTGAATGGAAATTAACGATCATCTTACATATTAATTTCTTAGCTTACCACATATTTGGATAAGTGGTGCTCTACAATTCTGGTTGATGGGATTTCAAAAAGGAGTTTGACTTGTCTGCACTGGCGTTTTTCATTCCTCCAATATTCCTGAAGCTCCTTAGTGGTCATAGAAGAGTTGGGACTTAGGGATGCACAGGAATCTAAAAATAATATATTAGTATTTCAGATTATAACCTTTGCATTTGGAAAGAAAACTCTTACGTATTTATTGTGAAAGGATAGCCTAGAATTTCTGTTGCTGTTACAGCAAGACCTAAAGACTGATAAAAGAAGTGATGTCAGTGCTAATAAAGATGGGTCCAGATTCTTTGAAGAAAGCTATCGTGGTCTGAAATTTTGCAACATACTAAATCAGCTGCAGAATACAAAGTTATAGAAAAAATATTGACAAGACGTATTGTACAGCTAGGTTGTAACCTCGGGCAGTCTGAGCAGGAGATATGCTTCACTGTACCAGAAGTAGCCATATGAAACACCAACACAGTATCCTGAAATAGATGTTTCTCCAGGCTTTTGTTGTTAAAGAGATAATACAGTGCAACTGCACTTTGTCATATATTCAAATACTGACCCTATTCAAACATTGGGTTTGTGGAGTAACAGGTGAAAGCTGAGAAAACATGAATATCCTAACCGTAAAGGGGAAACTCGGATAATCAGTTCTGCCAAAGGAGGAGTTCTCACATCTTTTTCTTTTGTAGCTGAATTGATGCCACAGTTCAGCTATGGATATTTTATAAACCTCCCTCTCTCTCTCCCCACAGTCATGTACACACACACAAACATATATACGTATGCATATATAAAAATGTAGGACAGCTGGTTAAAGAGTTTGCTTACAGCGAATTTGATGTAGCATTTTAAAAGGGTGATTTCTCTGTCTTTGAAATCTACTGACAACAGTCTTCATCAGGTGGCACATGGACTAGCAAAGTGGATAAAAGAAATGAAATATTTGTATTTCACAAATGGGGACACCAGTCAATAATGTCTCTGTTCATTCAGTCAGCTGAAGTCAGTCTGCAATGTACCTAACATTCAGACAATGGAAGTGAATCACCACAAACGAATGGGAAGATAACAGCTTGATGCAGAAATAGAATTGTAAAGGCACCATAGTACTCGTTCAGTGGCCCCACTTCTACATGTTCTTAATCACTTGGCCATACAGTTTCAATTATCAAGGCATTTGGGGTTTGGCTCAATCTCTACAAAGCATATATTTCCTATGAGAGGTGGTGTTTATGACATCTTTTGCAGGCTGAAAATCTTGTTGAGATTATATTTTTTTTTTGATTATATATAACATTTTATTTAATAACAGATGACAGCAATTTTAGGCATAGTAAAAGTTCAATGCTACCACATAAGGAATGTGAGAGACTACTTGAGATTAGCTTCAATGTTGGTGTCCTTGCCAATACTGCCAAGAAGTTCAGACTGTGATGTACAGAAAGTGCACTCCCAAGACAGGCCATCTGATGATTGCTGTTTTGGTTCCTAGTGCGTAAATTAATTCTGGAATACATTTTAGGCACAAGGGATTTAAAAGGAAAACTCTATGTGTGTACAGACATACCAGGAAGTCCATGTTTCACTATTGCTCCATTGTTACTGCCAGTGTAATCAAGGCTTATTTTCAGTGTAGTATAGCAGCGTGAATATAGGCTACTGCTGAAATAAATAAAGCTAAGGTTTTCCTATATAAAAGATTAATGGCATAACTAGCTACGTGAAAAATAAAATTTAAGGATATCATCAACCTTGCAGGTCACCTTTTTCTGAGTTTTCTTTTCTCACTTGACATGAAGTGTCAGCTTTGGGTTGATTTTGTTCTTCATGAGATGGACTTGTGGTAGAAAATGTAGTAATACTGCTTACAGCTTCCAGCAGTTCCCTTTCTGCTGTGCAGTGCAAGTCTTGGTCCATTGCAAGCTATTGCTGAAAGATTACAAAAAATATGACATTTCTTAGTAGCATGATTTTAGACCATCCAGTCTGGTAATCTTTTTTATTGACTTACTCTTTGGTCTCTGTGAACTTATATGAGGGCAACCGTAGTTTCATAAACACTAAAGTAAAAAATAGAAATATCTATATAGCTACCAGTGAGGAACCACTCCTACTGCCATTATCACTGAAAGTGTTTGGACAGGTTTTTGGAAGATTAAGATCAAATATGAGAACCATAAGTTGTTGAATAAGATTAGGTGGGGAACTCCATTCTTACCTAGGAGAATTTTCTCATGAACTTCAGTGGGGGTAGACTTTTTCTCCTTGTATTTTGCCCTCAAGCTTGCAAGTATGAGTTCAGATGAACCAAAATCTTGGAGATAATAACTAGCAGCCTGGATCTCTTACACTGCTAGAACTTACTGTTCTCAAGACTCCAAAACTTACCATCTGTTCTTAATCACAACCTATAGGGCAAAATAGGGAGATATCTAAAATTGTACATTTTTGTCATATTTCAGTTTCAAGTTCTTTCCAGAGACTTATCTCTGTACTGTGAGAACAAAACAACTGAATCTGACAGTGGCTAGGTGGAAGAACTGAGTTTTCTAATTATTATACTGAAGCATTCTCCCTTTATTTGTTCTTTTAACCTATAATACTGTGCTTGTAGTAGATCTGTATGCCTGTTTTGTTAGGACTATTTTACCACACACTGATAAAATGCCTAACACAATATACTCCTACCTTGTAGACCAGATTGGCCATTTTGTTGCATGTCTCCCCAGGATGTTTTGTTATTTTTTTCTCAACCCCCCCCCCCACCTATTACATCACTCTCTTATACTAGCAGTTGAAAAAGGTCTAAGAGCATCCTGATAACTTTTCCAGGGTGCTGTGATCTGTTAGCATGAGAGAAGCATTGCTCACAATTTCACAATTCAGCCAATGGCTGAAAATCAAATAACAGACCAACCTACATTAAAAAAACAAACAAACAAACAAACAAACAAACAAACAAAATCAACCAAACAAACAAAAAAAACCCAAACCAACCAAACAAACAAAAAAAAAAACCCAAAACATCCCACAACAAGTCTCCCTGCTACAAATATAAAAATAATGCCCAAACAGTGGCTATTGTGGGGTTAATGAGAGGGTTTAGAACAGGGATGTTACTACATATCACTTTTCTTCCACTTGTCTACCACACAGTTATGCAATGATGGTTACAGAGGTGGGGAAACTCCTTTATCAGACCTATTGATTTCTGGCAAACTGCAAGGCTATAAAAAGAAAAGCAATTACTTTTCCCGTTGGAAGTAATGGAAGTGCAAACCACCTTCCTCTAACAGAAACCCTTCCTTTGCTTGGCTTGGATAAACAAGTACATACATGTTGGCATTCTCCTTAATGGAAGCCCTTATTATTGGACTTTGGACTAGGAGGTGAAAGTTCTCATTGTTCTTCTCATCTTCCTTCAGATCTGCTTTTTGAACATGAAGAGTAGCCGCTTATTGTCTAACTGCTCAGTCTTTTGAAATTCATGACAGTTAGTCCCAAGAGCATAAATTTGCAAATATTTGTTTTTAAGGCAAAGAGAATCTCAAATATAGTAGATTAAATGAGGAATCTGAAAATGGCTGAACAGATTTAAATGAGAACTTTTTTTCTTGGTTGTGAGTTGGTATAACCTTGTAGGCAAAACCATATTTATATTCAAGATATGTATCTGTATGTAAGTGTATAACTTTATATACATAAAATATGTGTGTATATGTATAAAGATACCACTTTAAAACATGATTTACCAGGGAAGCGTAACACACTTGTAAATAGAATACTGAAGTGAACATTAATATACATGTCTTCTGCCTTGAAAACTATCTGTACTTCATATAAGCAGTTTCATTTTCACAACTAAAAATAATTGTAAGCTCTTTTTTACTAAGCTACTATTTTTTTTCACGTTTAAAAAATTCAAAATAATACAAAAACACTGCAACAAGTTACACAGTTTTACTTTGAACAGACACTCATCCTGTTCTGTTTCAGGGTAAATGCCACTCCAGCTGCTTCACTGAGTTGTAAGTAATATTAAAAACAAAGTGCACAGAATACTCACCTGAAAACTGCTGAAGAGCTTTTAGTTGTGGTGCATGTGTAGTCTGTACGAAGTCGTGAAAAGCCTGCTTGGCATTTTCAAAACGCGGAAAAAAATGTCTGTGTGTTCTTCTAACAGGCACAATTCTGTGTTTTACAAAAAGGAAGGAAGAAGCCTTGATTAAATCAGACTTCCTCGTCCAATTGGCTCACTGTTTCAGTGCTGACTGATTACGCATGAAATTTCCTATCTGCCCCAAACAGCCCTTGTGCTGGCTGTGGGCGAGGCACGGCCTGTCCTCTGCACTGCAGCTCCCGCGGCAAGGGCAGGTTTGCAAACCCCAGTCAGGATTACACGTGCAAACACAAAGTCTGGCAGAGGAAAGAGTTCAACAGTAAATACAATTAGAAAATCAATGAAAACTTCTCTGCATGGATTTCTGAAACCAAAAAAACACACTTAGCAAAAGAGAGATTAGGAAACAAAAAGCCAAATATGCAAATGCACTTATGAAGAAAAATATGCCCCTTGGGACATCCTTAAAATACAGACTTAACATCCAGTTCAGAAAAGAAAATGCAGATGGTACCACAATAAATAGCTCCACTTTATGTAAACTTGCACTCTGACAGAAATCCCGATTCCGCATAGCGCTTAAACATATGATTAATTTTGAATATCTGCTTAATTAAAGTTCAAAAAGGAGCATTATCATATCTGACGTGACTACTAAACTTGAAATGGGCTTCTGTGTGTGCCTAAAATCAATCCTGTGCTTAAAGTCTTTGTTGAACTGAGGACAAAGTAAAGAAGAATGATGCATTAATCCACATGTCCTTTGGCCCAGATGCTTCCTTTTGTAGTTCACTTCACTTTGGAAATTTGCTTTAAAATATCAGGATAGCTATTTCTGGGGTAAATAATATGGACGCTATCTTTTTTTAGTAATATGTTTCCCAATTGTTCACTCACTGAAGACCCAAGCGATTTTAATGCAGTACAAATGTGGGATGCAAACATCTAAAAGACCACATGGATCCTGCCCCACACATTCCTTTAGAACAATTTAAAATAATGTAAAACCAGGGCCATAAACTGGCAGTGCTTCTCTTCTGCTTTATTTGCAACATAAAACAATGCCAACTTTAACTTGGACTCAGTTCTAAATGTAGAAGTTTTGCCAAAATAGCTGTCAGAATGGTGAAAATCACTCCCATGCAGCTACAGCCACACTGGCAAAAAACATAGTGTAGATGCTGCTATATTGCCAGAGTCCTTTAGCCAGTTTAGCATGTTCCATGCAGAAAGTGATTTAAGTTACACCAGACAAGAAATCTGTGCTTGCCAATACAGCTCTAAGGTGTACCTATACCAGCCAACCCTTTTAAGTGTAGACAAGGCATGGGTTTCTGGCTCAAGTCTCATTCCTTTAAAGTTAGATTTATGGGTTTGGTTACAATTGTGAGCAAAAACCAAGGGGGATTTCAGTGCCTTTCACTCATGCTGACAGTTCACAGATGTATCTAAGCTTTGAATCCTGAATCTGTTAATTTATGTGTTGCCAGAAAGCAATGTATTATTTTGTGATGCTTAGTTCTATTGTCCTGCTCTTGATAAAGCTAAAAAAGGAAAGTATGTTTTTCAGTATATTAAGTATGATCTCTACTTTCAATTATTTCAGAAGAAGTCAGTCCCAGTAAAATTAACACGGATGATTTAAAAAAGTGAAATCTGTTATTTTGAGCATGGCATGAAATAATATTCACAAATCCAGGGTGTTCTGCAAGAATTCTGTCTGCCTCAGTAGAGCCAGTTGTTACAGTCACAGCCAGTTCCTGAATGGGTTCCTCATGCTCAGGAGCTGTGACACCCACAGCAGGCTTAGCGGCTGCTGCTCCTCCTCATCCTGCCCCATGAGCTTGGGTCTGGCCCAGACAGCTCCTGGCCCTTCACTGAGACCCAGTGTTGTTAGTCTGGCAGCATTTTACTTTTGTAAATGTCTACTTCATTCGCACATTCAGAGAAAATCTATAGTACACAGTGATGCTTGCTAGCAGAATGCATAAGTAGTGTCTGTCTTTTTATAGCCTCAGTTCCACTTCCAACAGTCAAATACTGTGTAAAGGGTTAAGCAGTGGAAAAGGGGAATTTTCACAATGGCAGTATAACATTCTGGGAGATGGTCAAGTGCACTTACACCATCCGTTTATCTGACTATTCATAAAACTGTGGTAAATTTTAATGGAAAAGCATGTTCTGTCATAGGCAGTGATAGAAAAGGGATCCTCATGCACTGGCTCACTCGGAGTTTGTATTCTGTGAAGGCACCGACTTTGGCATACATAAAGAGCACACTGTTAAAATGCATCTACCAAGGGATATGGAAAAAGAGTGCTCTGCAATAACACAGGAGGAGGGCAAGGTTAAAATCGTAACGCTGCAGTGCATAAAAGTGGTTGTCATAGGAGTTAGGTCCTCCATACCAATTTAAGAGGAAAGGACCCATTTGGGAAGACCAGCCTGAAAGCTTATGTCTAAAACTTGGTAGCCAGCCACCAGATGATCTAGCCTTGTGATGCCATGTTAAGGATGCTTGTATTGAAAGAACATGTTTGTGCTCTTGATAGTTGAATAACCAGAAGGGACTGCTGCAGTAGTGTAAAACATCCTGTCTTGATTTATACTCTGATTTGGGCAGTTCACATTTTCCCAATCAGATAGATTACATAAACCCAGACAGACACAGTATTTAACCATAGAATACAAAGCTGGTATCAGCTTGAAAAATTGTGAGATAAAGCAATGTTATATATAAACTGCAGTTTACTGCCAGATTTTATTGGCATTTTACTACAGGCACAGCAAGGTTTTATTCTTGTTAAAGAATGTGCCTGTAATATCCCTATTACAAAATACTCTTCAGCTTCTGTCTTAAGAAACACAGCTTCAGGCAACCTCATAGAGTCTGTGCTGCTTTTCCCTCTCAGGCCCCAAACTGTGTAACTAAACCTTATTTATTTTACCAAATCATTCATTAGAACTGTAGATAACGAGAAAAACCAAGAGGAGGCAGAAATACCTACTGTATTTATCCAAGTCTCCTTTTATCACATAACCAATATTTAGAAAGTGCTGTAGTCTTGGATGCTTCTACAAGAACCTTTCCTCTCTTTTTTAATGTAGCTGGATAACTAACTACCATTTCCATGCTGAAGTAGCAGAAAAATTCAGTTCTGCATGAATATTCTGCACTTTTGGGGTAATGCTGTGATAAATGAATACCATACTCCTATCCTGGCACAGCACAAAATTCTGTTCCATGCTATTTATATGACATTTAATTATATAGTGTTATATCATTTCAAAGTGGAATTTGTTTACCATACTTCATTATTACAAAACATGTCTCTTAACAAGAGTGTGGTTTAAAGAAATAATTTACCATTTAATAGCAAATATCTCGTGCTGGTGTTACTGACAGGGTTTTCAACATGAAAGAAATGTAACAGGCTCATTTTATACTGCCAAAGCCCTGTTATCACTTTACAGCTCCTTTATACTTCTAAAGGAGTATGAAGGAGCTTTAGAGTAAACAACAGTCTTGGCCTGCCTTTCATCTGTGGTCTGTCAGTGACACAGAGCTGTAATGCAAGTGCAGTGGGTCAATAGGATATTAACTTGGGTTAAATTTCACAAGCACTATTCTGTCTGTAGAATGACAGACTTTCTAAATGGTCTGTGTTGGTCATTTTTCCTGCTGAAATCATAAAGGGACAAGTACATAATTACATGGACTAGAGAAATAATTTTAATTTTGGTTTTTGAGTTATTATGTATACCCCATGTAGTTATTCCTATCTAGTATTCTGGTATTTTATTCTTATAATGTGTCTGTCCCCTTTTATTCTCAAATATAATTAATGTGTACTTAAGCTAATACTTATAGTCACGTTCCACGGGTAGTTTATTTATACCCAAACTGTAAACATAATGAGATTTGGGATAACAGGATTTACGGCAGACAAGCTAATGCATTTGTAGTAGCATAAACGGCAGCTCTACAAATGGAGGAAAGTGCCGCTGCTGTGTATAGATAGCCACCTTGAGGATTAGCAGAGCATAACTTGGGTTTACTTCTGCGAAATGAAAAAAAGTAATGCATAAATCTTAGTATCTTTTTACTATTACTTATTCTTTAAAAATTAGATATGACTTTGAAATGCAATTTTGCTCGTAAGTGACTAAATAAATTTATTAGTGTGAGCATTCATTCCATAGTAGATAAAATCTCATCATTTCCTCAGGAGTTTCCAATAAACTCCTGCTGCTGACACTCAAGACTCTGTCTTTTCCCTCCTGCACATACTCACACCAACAAAGGCCTGTGTTGTGCCTTCCCATCTTCCTACCATGAGCTGGGGTGGTGACACACATGGCTTCATGCTCAGAAGCGGGCACTCCAGCCCTGACCCGGCTGCGTTAGACCTGCTTACTGACTATCTCTCTAGATCCTGGAGAACTACAGGGAACAGGACTAACTGGAACAGCCTTTACTTTAGCTAATGTTGAGCAGCACATTAGTAAATTACATAAAAACATGTATTAAAGGACTACTCAAGAGGCAAAGGAACTAGGAGAGTGTTCATTTGTATGCCAACAATATTGCAACCACCTTGGGTACAAGATCGTATGCTATTTTTTCAAAGATGCTTCTTTGTAGCAAGTCCATTTCTAGCAGAAATTTCAGAAGTGTTTCTAAAATAAAATGTAAAGCACTAGTTTAAAATACTGTGATTAAAAAAAATATCTAAAAATAAATGTTGTCTTCTGGAAATGCTGAATGCATGAATAGAGCCTTTAAGCATAACCATCCCGCTGAGCAACTCTTCTGTTCTGGAGCTCATTCTCTCATTCATTATTTAATAAGAGCTCAGTATATCTAAAAACTGATGCTAAGTGGGTAAAACAGAATAGCATTCAGATGAGAGTCAAAGTAAGTCAGTTAAAGAGGCGCTACATTTGGCTTTTATTAAATCAAATATTCAGTAGCATTACTTACATTTCTTGACAGTAAAAGCATTTCAAAACTGGACTCTGAAGCCAGACCAAGTCTGACATTCATGAACAGTCTGTAGGTAACTCTACAGCCGCCTGCTTCAGGAGGGATAGTTGGAATTACCTACAGAGTTTGCCGAGCAGTTGAAAACGCTCTGTACTGGGGAAGCAGCACGTGTGACAGCACCGCAAAAGCCTCTGGTGCCGCCGGCACCCGCGAGAGGCCGGTTGGGTTCGGTTGGTAGTTCGTAATCTGGGGAGGCTTCAGGCTCCGCGAGGCCCCGAGAAGCCCCAGCTCTGCCCGCCCCCCGCGCGGCGCCTGCGGCCAGCCGGGCCGGAGCCGCGGGGCCGGAGCGAGGCGGGGCCGCTTCACCCTCCGCCGGTGCCAGCCCGCTGCTGCCCGGCCCCGCCCCGGCGCACGGGGCCCAGCCCGGCCCCCACCGTCGCTGGCCTCACTCGCCGGCGCCGCGAAATCAGCCCGCCGCAGCTCCCTATGTCCCGCCTTCGCGCTCTGGGAGGCCAATCGGTGCCCTGAGCGGAAGCGCTCCGCCAATCGCGCCTTTCTGGCCTCCCGCCCCACCTCCTCTGCGGCTCATACAATCTTTATGGAGCGGAATCCCCCCCTACCCCTCGTCACCTGGCGGCGCTCTTCGCCAATAGCGCTACGAAGCGGTGGCATTTCCGCGCTGTGATTGGTTGTGAGAGGAGCCGGGGGACGAGAGGGCGGGCCCGCTGGGGCAGCAAGGGAGCGTTTCGGCGGCCGGAGCGTCGGGCTGCTGCGACGACGATGCGGGAGCGGGGAGCGGGCCGGGCCGCCGCGCCGGGCGCCCTGCGGCTGTGAGCCGGCGCTGGGGCAGTCCCGCGGGCGGCGGCCGGGGATGAGGTGAGCGAGCGGGCGAGCGAGAGCCCGCGGCGGCCGGGCGCTGCCAGGTGAGGCGAGGCGGCCGCGCCCGGCCCCGCCGCTCCGAGCCGCCCGCCCCGGCCGTGGCCGATGCCGCCGGCCCCGTGCTGGAGGCGCGGCGGCCGCTGCGGCCCGGCCCGGCCCGGCCCTGCCCTGCGGCTGGTGGCGAGGCCCAGCGGCGGGGCCGGGCCGGCTCGGCGGGGGGCGGCGGCTCTCGGCGGGGCTGTGCGGGGGCGCCGAGCTCGGGCCCGGCGCTGCGTTTCCGAGAGCTCAGCGTTAATCCCTGGGCAGCCCGTTGTTCCGACTTAAAAAGTGTTTCGGGGCTTTCCTTCCCCGTCCTGCCCGCAACCGCGCAGAACGGTAGAGAAAATTATCAGAATTGGAGCCGGGGGGAAGAAAATTACTCTCAAAACTGTAGCCTTGCACCGAGCCCTCTGGCCTGCAAGTACATTGTGTGTCGTATCTTACCTTGCTAGGCCGTAAGCAGATACGTCTCTCTTGCCGTTGAACGCTCCATTATGAACAAAGTTCTTTATCATTTGGCTTTCATCTCAAAATCTGAACGCATGCGTTTCATTTTATTGAGAGGACATGCATATCGTGTTGACAGAACAGTTGTTTGCAGAACAGTGATGATGCTGTATACTTGCCAAATCTTGTAATGCTAGAGTATTCTGATAGTTGATAATGGCTTCTGTTCTTCCTCTAAAGTAGAATATTTGTTTCAAATTTATAACACCTAATGAAATTGAGTGGAGTTTTTTAGCCGTATTTTCTGTAGAAATCATGTTACCAGTGTGAGCTTATTTGTATCAGGCAATATTTCAGCCACTATTTTGAAGAAACAGTTTCTATTTTTTCCACTTGTGGTTTATATTGCAGTCACGTAATTCTGTCTACATTGAGCTGCAACTTAATTTACTTGCTCTTAGTTTTAATCTTCCTTTCAAAATGGTTTTTGGACTGTTGAAGAACATAAATGCATCTCAGTTGTTTAAAACTTGGTATTTAAGGTGAAAGTTCTGTAAGAAACTGTACAATTTATTTTAGCCTCTTCATTTTAAACTCTGAATCAGAGCTACAGACTTGTGTGTTCATGCTGAAACCTGATAGCTGATTCAGACGTTTCTGTATAGTTCATCTAAGGCTACTGCAGGGTAGAAACAAAGTTCTCACATTTCAGAGCAAGCTGTTTTTAAGATGAGATGTTTCTAGTGACAACAGTGAATTAAGACAAGGGGGAAGAAAGGGAGTTAGGGATGCTTTGAAGGTAGCTTATTATGGCCTACCTCTGACATTTTTTAAAATATTTTTTTTTTCCAAAGTATATAGTCAGGTGTTGCAGCCACGATTGTATTTTGCCCGTTGCTTCCCAAAATCTTTTGGACATGAAAATAATTCAGGTAGTAGGTGGAGTAGAAGAAAGCAGCTGAACAGGCTCTGGCACTTAAATGTTCCTGGTGACGGTCAAGTACTCTCTGTATGCACAAAGTTTTATAGTTGTTGGTATGTTGCGCGGTGTAACGATGACTTGTTGCTAAGCATAATTTGTTTGGTTCCCAAGTTAATTCATACTGAGGTCTAATAGTTTATTCTGGTCTAAGTCCAATATGCGTGTGCTGTTCAGCAAGCATACTTTACTTGTGGAATAATCAATTCCATGGAAAATGGCTGTAAAAAGAAATAATCTTAAAAATCAGTGATTTATGTGCATATATTCCTGATATGTTGCCAGAACTTAACATCCTTTTAAACAAGTTTTTCTGTGCTGTTAAAATAATTATTGATAATTTTTATTATTCTAAGAGAAGGCTATTTGGTTTCTAGAGCTGTATATTTTCTTTGTCAGGGGACAGCGGTGATAGATATGTTTTTAAAGGAAGGCATTTTAAACAGTGGTAATGAGCTTTTTCATAATGGAAAGCCTTTTGGTACTGTATTCAGTGGCTTAATAACATCTCTGAGGATGACTAGAACTTTGAAAGACTGACCATGTACCATGTAAAGTTGTCATCGTGTAATCTAAATGCAGCTGTTAACATGTTTTCACACTGAATTATTTACTACTAAACATGTGGGGAGGTTATATAATATTGCAGCAATGGACCTGTAAACAGGGTATATTTATTGAATAGATATTATAAATACTTAATTTTTTTTTAAGCTCTTGAACAGACTGTTAATATATTGTTTCCATGCATACTTATTAAAATTAAAATGAATTACTTCTTAAAGTGAAATAGGAAAGGTCACGATCCCTGTAATGTCAGAGATACTTGTTTGCGGTGTATTGGGTGTTGATTAACTTTGTGGAATGGCTTGCAAAAAGAAAAGTTAAGTAAATGCAGCAGTCTTTGAAAATGGAGAACATTAAATGGAACTATGAAGAACGAGACGATACCTATTTTTTTCTCTAGTGTCTGGAAAAAGCAAGGGGAGGGAACTAGACAGAACTTGGATCGACCTCTATTTTAATATCTGAGTAGACTTATAAAAACTTATGGTCATTTAGTCATGTTTCATTTGTGGGGGAAGATCCTGTAGTGTTCTTCATCAGTTCCCATATAAAACATTACATTTCAATCCAATACTGATAGCAGACTTTTTTGTTAGTCATCAAGAAACACTAAAGCCCATTTATGTGTATCAAATGAAAATGAAGAAAAAATTTTTCAAACTTTAAAACGGGTTGATAGTCTTCCAGACTTTATCTTAGTGAGGTCTGAAACTGTCGAGATTCTGTCCCTCAGATGTTAATTACTTTGCAGATGGAAACACTTTAAACCACACAGTTCCCATGAGCTGCTGCAGCAGTGGTCTCAAAGTGGGATGATGACACTGACACCCACGTGTAGCGTCTGTGAAGACGAGAAGCGTGCTGCATTCTGTTTGTGTGGTACTGGAGCCTCACTAGGAGGCTCAGCGAGTCAGCACAGAAATGTGTGAATTCCTATGACTGAAAGATGCTACTTTGCATAAACTTTCGGTCCTCTGTGGCTGTTAATACTGTTCTTTGGGGGAAGGAGTTTTGTTAAGTACTCTTGGTTTAAAAACAGATGATGAAAATAATTACAGTCCTACTGGATTCCATGGCTTTCTGATAGCTTCTGAAGCTGGGATCAAATGGAGTAGGAGAAATAGCAATAGATTTTGTGGTATTTGAATGTCATCAGAGAAAAGATCTGGAGGAAGATGGCAGCAAGAGGAGGCACAAGGGCAAAGAGTATTTGTTTATTATTTACTGAAACTAAATCTATAAATAATCATTGAGATTCTCCTTTAACTGAATGCACACTGTGGCATTGCAGATTACTAACAGGAAAATTTACATGACTATATTCTTAACTTGTATGCTACCCTTTTCTGTCATCTTTAGAAGAACAAATCCTGTTAAGGTACTGCAGATCTTTCTTCATGTATCCAGTATGATCTAAACTGTAGGCATATATATGTGTGTATGTGTTTTACTTTTGTATCTGCTACTGTGAGCAATGAGGTATTTTCAGATTTTTCTTGTTTAGTTTACTGATCGAGAACTATAATTCTTAGAATGCTGTTTAACTAAGGTGTTTTCTTCCAGGGTATTTTAATAACTGAAAGTGCTACTTTTCATACTTTGTTGAACTGAATTATCTCTCTAAAATGATAAAAAGAAAAGCCTCCAGGTCTTTCTTCAGAATTCCATGTTGTAATGCTGGTGCAATTTGTTTTCCATACATTGTTTATTGCGTACTGGAACTGTCCATTTCTGTTATTTAAAGAAATGGCTATTATAAATTACTAAAGTTTCCATTTTCTGTTGTTCTATAACATTGATGCAATTTTCTACTTCACTGAATCAAAACGCTATTCAGGATGACAGATGCAGTACACTTTGTCAGAAATAAGTAGTCAATAGGCATGGGAAAAGATCATCATAGTGGAAAGCTTCCATAAAATATTTGTAAACTTGAGCAGGGTATTTATTTCTGTTCATCTGAAATTAAAATTTATTTTTCCTTTCACTTATATGTGTTTTCTGCATTTTATTACACTTTTTCCATAGCCCCGTGCTTCAAGGAACTACAGAAGGAAAGGAAATACACAGCAATAACAAGTAGAAATGGGTATGTCCGTGATCAATAGGACTATGGCTGTTTCAAGACTATATTCACTGTTTCAGATTTTACTGAACTATTTTTACTCTATAGGAGGAGTGGGGCTGGTCAAAGATTTAAATGATTTTCTGTTGCTTTACTTCAGACTAGTTGTAGTTCCTCAATTTAATTGCACTTTTTTTTTTTTTTTTTTTATATATATAATTCTAGGATTTCTGCTCTGGATTTGGTTCTTTGCAAAATGAATATTGCATTGTTTCACAAAAGTTGGACCCTCCAGTAGACTTTGTCAAGATCAGCGCACAAATAAACAGCTTTTTATTGAAGACTTCTGTGCAACTTTTACATTTTTAATCACAATGAATTCGGGCTTATGGAGTCAAGAAAAA